TTAATATGTTAATTTTAGAAATATATATATATATATATATATATATACATGGATCTGAATATCGGATTGTAATGGTAGATTATAATTAATTAATGCGATTATTTGATAAAACTTTTATTTTCAACAAACAAACTATACTTCTGTCAAATTTAATAATATATGCTTCTAATTTGTTAATATATTAATGTTTTATGCAATCTATTAATATATTACAGAAATAAAATGGTTTATCTTATTATTATAATATCTCTAAAACAAATTAATTAAAAGCTCATTAAAAGCGTATTAGAAGGATTAAATTATTTGTAAAATGTGATTGGTATTTTATTTGAATTTAAAAATTCAATTCGCATATCGGGAATTACTGTCTCGAATCGACGCTAGTATTGGTCAATGTTCTGAAGCGCGCGCAGGAACATAACAGCAAAAAAGTCGCGAAGTATAGAGGCGTATAAGTTGTCCCCACCGTTGCGTCTACGTTCAGTCTCGGGCAACAGCTAAGACGTGGTGGTTGTGTTTATGTCATTCTTCTCCTTCCGTACATGCGATTATTCTAACAAAATTTAACGAAAGTCTCTTCATAGAGCCGGTGATCGATCGATCGTGTTATCAATATGTGCTGCGTATTTTATTCTACGTGTGCCTATTGTCTTGTCGATCTTTAAAACCTTTCGAATACGGCATTACTTCGTTCATACGATTCTGCGCTATGGTAGACAATCGCGTAGGATCAAATGCACGTCGTTTCAATACAAACATTTATGACATTTAATTAACAAAATTATCCTGTTGACGTGAGATCGTCGATCATTGGTTCGAATTGATACAAACATCGGACATACGCGATAATTCGTGTATCTGTGTACGAAAACGCGAAATACTAGTTCTGTGTCAGTCGATGAGGTTAGGCTGGCGTATTTACGCAACGAAAATTCGTGTCGTCGGTGTACGCGCACGCGATGCGGCTCTGACAGCACGTTCTATCTTCTTTTCTATATTACTGATCATACGTCACAGGACGGAACGCTCTGTGCAGTGCTTAACGCTGAATTTATTGTCATCGTCAGTGACGACTTTGACAGCGCATCATTCGAAGTGAGGTTAATTTGGAAGGTGTGTCGTGCGTGTGCGTGCTGTAGAGAAAAACAACACGGCAATAATACGATGACGGCGATGTTAGTATCTGTGGCGGAACTGTCGAACATTTTCTTCGTGCTTGCAGTCTCGATATGCTTTTGCGGAGTCTTCTTGTTTATTATCAGGTATTTACATCGTCGTATATTGTGCGTTGTTTTTTCTTAAACTGTATGTATCATTTAAGCATGTTATACAATATTTGCATGCATTTTTAAAATTATTTAGAAACGTATTTGTAAGAATTGATATGAATTCATTAATTTACATTCTTTTTCATTTTATCATCTTTACAAAGAAAAACAGTTTCCTTTTATATAAATGAGATCATAAATATTCGATATATCAAAATAAATAAGATATTCGGATATATATATACACATATGTATAATTATAAAAATAAAATATATAATATATATATATATAATTATATATATATATATATCATTATATATCATTTTTATTTCTTTTATAATTGGTAAATATTTATTTGTTGATTTATTTAAAATCAATTCCTTTATTTCTATTTATTAATATATCTCAAATGTATCAATTTATTTAAAAGTTTCTTATATTTTCCATCTGTAATAGATATCAATTAAAGAATATTTTATAATTATATATATTTTATAAATAATAAACTTTTTATAATGAATGACATGATTGCATGATTGTAAGTATTGTTATCAAATCGATAAATACTTGATATCATTTTACCAATAAATAACATCTCAGATATTATAAATCAAATTCTCATCAATGAATATTACTAACTTACCGTAAGAAGATTTTTCCATATTTTTTTCTATATCCATTTTAATATTTTGCGTTTCTCAGAGATCACTTATTTAAAAAATCATTATTAATTTTCAAAATTTAAAGAAAGAAAATTTGAGGTAGTCAGTGATATTTCATTATACAACATTTACAGCAATAAAAGTTATTTATTTATTAAAATTGTATGATATATTTAATAATTTTATATGATAGTTTTAATAAGAAGTTAAATATATTTTTTGTGATTTATTTATTGTATTAAAATTTTTATTATATTGTTTTTGATTAAAAAATAATTTTAATAATGAAATTAAATTCTGTTCTTTTTTTATTTGATTCAAGATGTTAAGGTTAAAATTTCATTTCTTATATTCCAAGGTAAAATCAATGGAATAAATGTTATTGTGAGAGGATCGTAAAAATAGTTGATAAATTAGCACTTTCAGTTTAGCAGTAAAAGTGTGCCATAGGATAGAGGACATAACAGTTAAGAACAGCTGTTTAAACATAGAAAATCATGAAAATTTTCATTCTTATGAGTAGCTTATATAAAAAGTTATATGAAATAGCTTAATCTTATCCAAAATATAAATTAAATTAAATATTTTCGAGGGAAAAAAAAAGAAGAAAATATTAGAACAATCTTATAATTATCAAAATTAATGACGAAAAGTTTGATTATAAATTTTTGCTTGCCAAAACTTATATTTTATATTCTTATGTTTTTTCGAAGAATGCAAAAAACAAAAGTTTTGTTTCCAAAATTAATTTTTATAATCAGATTTAAAAATATATAATTCCAAAATTTTTTCATCTTTAATATAATTGATTTAAAATATTCTGATAGATTTAAAATATTTTGATGAATAAATGATCTAGATAAAAAGTATCATTATTAATCATGAGATTATATATATTTATTTTAAGAATAATTTTTTATTTTTTAAAGAAAAAAATATGGAAAAGATGGAATATATTAATAATTAACGATTTACTTTGAAACTAGAATTAATAATTTGTTTTGAAATTACAATCGGATCAAATGCATAATTTAATTACATACGTATACTTCTGTGAAGAAAGAAAATATTTTTTGTTGAAAATATTTTAAAGAGCGAAAAATTTATATATTGCAAATTAATTTCTCATTTATTTTCGTATCAAAGTTCAAAATAATCAAATGAATCAATTGAATGGTAATATAAGATTAATTAAGTTACCCTTATTTCATCTATGATTAAACGAAAAAGTTCTTTGAATTTTAGATTTATATATTGTGTAATATATTCTAATTCGTATACTCTAATCTATGCGTTATTACATTGCAACATCGATGATTTGCTAGTTTCGTCGGTCATTTGACTTTTTTTTTCTGAAAATGATTTCTGTGTACTTTCGTAGAAATTATGCAACTCGCTGGAGACGCTTGATCAAACCGTTATTATCTTGCGGTATTCGTTGTTGCTTGTTCAATGTATTATTTATACGTTGTTGGAAATAACAGACCAACTAAAAAATTACCGGAAAATTGTGAATCTTTATAGTATGTTTGAATAACAATATATTAACTGATTCAAAGAATATAAATAATGTTATTTTCTCAAATTTTTATCGTTGCATAGTCTCGAGTAATACCGATAATAAATCTTTATCACAAGAAAACGTAGGATTTAATTATTCTTCGTTTGTTTATCGCAATAGTGCAAAGTTTATTAGATAATTTTGTCTTTGTTAATATTATTTTGATCAATTTACTAATTGTTATGAATCTCTTGACTCGTGATTTATCAAGATAGGAATTACAATTAGTATTTGATAAAAATAGATTCATTAAATTGCATTCAGTAATTAAATTTATTTTGAACGCTAATTTTAGTTCTAATTCATGAATAATTTACATAAATATCTGATAAATTATACATAAGATCAAGAGGTTATTGTGTAATGAAATTGAAATATAAAATTAAATAAATTTAAATATAAAATTAAATAAATTTAAATAAAATCGAAACGGAAGTTAAACCGAAAGTTGATCTTCCTCAAATTTCAATTGGAATAATTCTGAAATATCTAGTTGAATTAATGGCGGGCCCAAATCCAGAAGCCTTATGTCAATAAACCGTTAACACACTTACATGAAACGTGCGATTCACTTATTTGAAAAGAGAAAGCCGCGTTCTGAAATTTCAAAGCTGTACGGTTTACTTCTTTGCTTCGCCTAAAATAACTTGAAAACTGTACTTGAATTTTAAACGTCCTTTGAAATGAATCTCTACATCATCTAACATTGTGTCTCTAAATTGATCAATTTTTCAGAAGCTCGTTAAGAAATATTTAAAATTATTTTAATAGAGAATGTCTCATCATTTCGATATTTTTTTTTTTTTCTCTATTATACGCCAAAAAATAATTTACAGTAACGTTGATGTTACATATACTGTGCTTATGTACATTCTCATGGCCATGAGGTTATTGGCATATATGATCATTCGTATATTAATTCATTCCAAATCATGAATAACGTAGTCAATTCGATTATTTTAAATATCGAAAAACGTGATCGTAATTTTTTATTCCAGGTATTTATCGTTATTTTTTATTCGAACGAGATCTATAAAAATAAGACATTAAATTCTTTTTTATCAAATTTATAGCTAATATCATTTGTATCATGATGTATCATTAATAAAGGAAAAAAATTAGATGATGATACAATAGTAGTACAATAGGATAGTACAATAATTATTTATAATCAAAAATCATTATTTTTATTAAATTTGTATAGTTTTCGAAACAAGAAGATAAATTTCTTTTTTTAAAGAAAAAAAGAATTAGAACGGAAGACTTTTCTTTCAGAATTATTTTATCGTAAATTTTATCGCGTTCGATCTGTTGTATTATTTCGGAAAAAAAGCAAAGAAAAGATGAGAAACTTATCAGAAACTGGTCGATACATAATTTTCAAAACCGTTAGCTCGTACGTGCTGCTGAAAAAAAAATAGTATATACTGTTATTTCTCGAATCACCGAATCGTCTCGCGTTCAGGGTTTTGCATGCCTACACGTAGGACACTCTCGTTTTACATATGGACAGGATCTCCTGTGCCGAGAGTGAATTGAGCATTAATTGTTAACTCTAGAGAATAGATCAAACTTCAAATAGTGAATTATGAATGAATTACGTGGAACCACGGAATATCATTAGAATAATTAATGTTAATAATTACTTAACGTTATTAATTTGTACATCTCGTTAATTATTTCCTTCATTCACGCCAAATTAATGTGTCATCCGTCAATTAACATTTAAGAAAAGAAGAATATTAATTAGAACTAGAGTTTCTAAAGTTAGAGATTAACGTTGATATACATTTTTGAAACTTTCTAGTTTGAAAGATTGGGAATTTTGAAAAATTTAAACATTGAAAAATTAAAGAATTTGAAATTTTTTAAATTTCGTTATTTTAAAGGATAAAAAAATTTGAAAATTGATTTTATCGACAAAGTAAAGCATCTATTGTATAATAATTAAAATTGAAATTGAAATAACTAAAGATAATTAAACGATTCGATTAAACGAGGAACCTAATTTCTTTTTGCAGAAATATGATCGTGCTTCGCATTCACGGCGACGAATTGATGTTTGGAGGGAGTGGAACTGTCATGACGCATTCGCCGCGTATACCTCAAATGGAAATGATGAAGGTCCATATTCCCTTCACCTTCAAGCTTCACGAAAGTTTCAAGAGCACTTACACCGGTGAGTTTTTCCCCAAATATATTCCCCTTATTTCTCTTTTTTTTTCCCTCTTTCAATTCGCTTTTTTTCTATTCATTTCTTCCAAATAAAATTTCCAAAGATTTTGGAGAAAATCGTCAAATTCACAATTTTTATTTTCATATAAATACAAGTAGAAAATTGAAAATCGATATACTATTCCAACGCAGGATACGCAGTAATTAAAACATATAAACAGATACGCAATAATTCGATAAAATCCCATCTCATATATGCAAATACGGGGGAATACACGAATAGGTAATTGAATATTCAAACAATCGAATATATCTACAAAGGAATCGAAAACGTTCGATCAATTGAAATTCGAATCGTTTGTCTCCTTAAGAATAAGGAGATATTCTATCTATCATCCATGATTCATTATTCGTTTATTAACATTCTAATTAAAAACACCGATGGAGAAAGAGAGGGGGGGAAAACTCGTTCCTTCGACAAACGGATCGGAGATCGTATCTCGTACAATTGACGGTATAAACGCATAGACGTGTCTCGCCTTTGTTTCGTCTAATTTTACGAGATTAGTATTCGTTAGCGTTTGAACGATAATCGATCAAAATTCACGCGTCGTTCGAACCCCCCGTGGGGTTCGCTATAAGGAATATCCCTTTACGTTTCGATTCTATTACGCCTCTCTAGAAGTCATATTCCTCCTGTTCAATCCGGCTATCTTCAACGATTCCTATCCTTTAAGAAACGTTTTTTCAAATTTCTCTCCTCTTCCACGAATACACATATCGGTTATATTTCGCAAGTTTTGTCGCCGGGTTTATTAACTTGAAAAGAATAGTAGGACACTCTTCGTGTACGATTCGATCTGGTCGAAAGTAGGTTACAGACACGCGTGGAAGTGGAAGAAGAAGAAGAAAAAAAGAAGAAGAAGAAAAAGAACGATGATCTTCCACTTCGTAGTCGATTGTCGTAATTGGCATGCAGGTGTGAAAGCACCCAAAGTTACGAAACGTTACCTTGACCGCTTGGCCAGGTCATTGTGAATCATTTAATCGGAGAATAATTGATCCCGAATATCGGATTCGAATCTCTCTCACGTGATGTTTTTATTTATTTACTTATTTTTTTTTTATTAAAAATCACTGCACTTATTATTCAAAACCACGTTTTACTGTTAAATATGTATTTGTAAATGTTAAATAATTACAATACTTTATGGAAACTGTTACACAGATCAGAAACATAAAGCGTTTCTTCATCATTCGAGTAATCATAATTTATTATACTAATTTGTTTTTACAAACTTTACAAACTCTGAAAAATTTAATTCGAAAAATAAATAATTACCAAATCGAAGTTTTTTAAAGCATTTTAAAAAATGAAAGTATTGGCGCAACAGTTTAATTCTCCGCACATTAATTCTATTTCATTAAAAACTAATATATTTTTTAATATTCTTATTATGAAACATCTCTTCCACTAGTAATTTACATTTACATTTGATTACATTGGATTGATACGCATAGGAAAGAATACACCGAGCGAAATATACGTTAGGTATAAATGCAAATGCTTACATATCGTATTGTGCCGGGTAAAAACTATCTTCTCCCTCCGTGATCACGTTTTATTATGCCACGGTTGATTTATGCTCGACACTCGACGACCTTCGATAAATTCATTAAACCACGCGTATTCATGGGATAGCGAGCGTATTTGTTAGGGTTTGCCCCTGTTAACCTTGTGGGTGTGCCTTGGGATTTTATTCGAACGGTGCCACGGACTAGGCCACGAGCACGTGTTTCGTTCTTAATGAAAAATCGATTAATCATAATGATTAGTACAACTGATCGTATCAAAGTATCAAAATCAATTTCCGACGAAATTTTTTTACTTTTCCAAGAAATAGACTTTGGATTCAGAGAAATTACAAAACTCATCTTTGAGTATCAATTATTAATTTATCAGGATGAAATTTTTATGCTTGCCTATTTATAGATAGGCAGAGAAATGGACGTTGAAAACAGATAATGTCGTTTGAAAAATTATAAATGATATAGCGAAATTAATAATTTGATCTTCAAAATGCAAATTATCAATTAACTTTGTATGAAAATTATTTAATGGATGGATATCATCCTTTACAAATTATTCCATGGTATCATCGTGCGATCTAGATCTTCTCTTGCACAGAGAAAAAGGTATATACAAGATATTCTCTTTTGTTGATTCGTAATGACGGAGAACCGTGAGAAACAACTCGTGGAAACGATGGATTTTTCCGGAGGTGGAGGTTACAAGGGCAGAGTATTTTTGAATTCCAGGCCCGTAGGCACAAAGGTGACCATGTAAAAGTGTGAGGGTCGGTTGCAGAGGTTCAGTCTCGTTCATCGAGGACAGCATTCATATGTTCGAATAAACGAATGTTACGTAAGTTACGTGACAATAGACGAAACAATCAATCCACGCATCGTTAATAAACCAACACCATCGATTATTATGATACAGACATCTCTCATCTTTGATAATTATCTAAATAGGATTCCTCGTTTCTTTTAACGTTAACGTGCTACGATAAAATAGCTTATTAATCGAGATGCTGTTGTAATAGTTAATGATTATCGTAAAAGATAGAATCAAAGAATTTGAACGATGCATGGCAAATGATGTTTATCGATACCTCTTATTTATTCAAATAATAAATGAATAATAGATGAATAATATGGAAATGTTGTTCGAATCGATGGTTATCGCATAATATAATATAATACTTATCGTATAAACAAAATATCTTTAGTAGAATTTAATGGAGATTTCGTATTAAAAATTCAAAGAGTAACAAAGTTGAAAGCAGAATATCTATCTTTCCTATCTATTAACATTTGATCTTTTTCTTTTTTCCTCTTCGAAAACGGAAGAATCAAGAAGAGTCGTACAAGAACTATACAATACTAAATTTAAACGAATTTTGTATTTCGCAAAAAACAAAAAGAAAAAAAAGCAAAAGTTTAAATTTTCAATCGAGTCCATTCGATTGATAATAAAGATCGGTTAGAGAGGAACGATGCCCTTGGTACTACAAAAATTCTCAGAAATCTTTTCTCATGGATCGACCGATCATTGATCGACGTTATGCGTGTCAAGTTCACCGACTCGTTCGAAAACTTACTTAACAAGCGCGTTACGAGATATAATAGACGAGGCGAAAGTGAACAAATCGAAAGCTCACGTAGCCTGGTAGCATTTTACCGTGCAAATATTACATCTGCCTGAGTGTGTAGGTGAATTATAGGTGAACATCGGAGAACATTCCTGGCCTCATTGTGCAACATTGTAATCGCGATTGGATCGAGAGAGAGAAGAGCTTGTGGTCCAGGTTACGAAAGGTTAGCCGACCGGTGACGTAACCATGGTGAGTCGATTGCAAGATTCCTTCGAAGAGAGAAATACTTTTATAGTTGACTGTCTGAGACTGGCTCGAGACGGGATCCTCTAGCCCTCTTTTTAGTCGCTTGTTAAATGGTATTATCGTTTTCGAAACGAACTCCATCGAAAAGAACACTCCATCGATAATTAATGCCGCGAGACGAATCACTTGTTGCTTGCTTGCTAAACTACAATCTTTTGTTGGATTGTATTTTAAATTCTTTTGTTTTTCGTTCTTCTTCTTTTTTTTTTTTTTTCCTTCTCCCTCCATTCTTTTTTACGCCCTTGAATATCACGGATGAGGTAATATGCAGCTAGTCAGAAACATTTTCATGTACCTTGTGCAAGTTTCTTTTTTTTTTTTTCGTTTTTTTTTTTTTTTTTTTTTCCTTCTCCCTCCATTCTTTTTTACGCCCTTGAATATCGCGGATGGGGTAATATGCAGCTAGTCAGAAACATTTTCATGTACCTTGTGCAAGTTTCTTTTTTTTTTTTTCGTTTTTTTTTTTTTTTTTTTTTCCTTCTCCCTCCATTCTTTTTTACGCCCTTGAATATCGCGGATGGGGTAATATGCAGCTAGTCAGAAACATTTTCATGTACCTTGTGCAAGTTTCTTTTTTTTTTTTTTTGTTTTTTTTTTTTTTTTTTGTATCCTTGAATATTTCAGACGAGATAATGGGCTACAAGCAATCAGTCGTTTAAAAATCTTCGTATGATTTATGTATAGACGTTTTCGTTCATTTCGAAAATCGAAATTTATACGTATTTTTATGGTAATGATAAAAACACATAAAATATAAAAATTTAGCTATGAATAGACTTGTAAACCTTGTTCTTGTTCTTGAATCCCAATATGAGTCAAACAACCTTGTCCCCATATTGTTTGATAAGTTAGAAGGAATAAATTTGGAGGACATTTTCATGAATCATCGACATCTATAAAATAATATTAAAGTTATTCTTTTTTTTTTTTTTTTTTTTTTTAATATTATTATTATTTATTTATTTGCTCCTAGTTTAGAAACGTGAACGAGGTGAATACGAATCGAACGATAAAAGTTATCGAACTCGCAATTTATCTTAGGATTATCAAGGTGTTTCTTGATTAATTCAATACACGATCTATCTTTCCTTCATTTGTTATTCATCTTTGTATATATGTATGCATATATTCTTAAGAACCAGTTCTAATATCATACGAACGTGTCACTTATGATTTTATTACACGTATTCAAATATGATATCGTTATTGGAAAACTATGCCGTATATGATTATAACTAACATTTCTATCCATCGCGTAAAAGTATTCTTGTTTTCCTCTTCTTTCGTGCCATCTTTTTCCCATGTTTTCATTCTGAACATTTTTTTCGCTTCTCTCTCTTTCTTTCTCTCTCTCTCTCTTTCTCTCTTTCTCTCTTTCCTTCTTCATCTTATTAAAGTAGGAAAACAATAAATAAAAAAAAATTCCGTGATTATCATTATTGAAAAATGACGCGTTACGTTACGTGTTAGAATAATAGATGTATTACAAACCTATTATACAAATCAGAGGCAAAA